GGAAAAAAACCCCGGGGGTCTTGTAACGTGACAGCTTTAAGACTTGCATGCTTCAATGCCAGAGTTTCTGAATAGCTACTTGGACTGACCTAAGTACTAATTCATAATTTCATATCCAGTCACATGGGTGGCAAGCCACTCCCACAAAGGAGGCCACACCCACAGAGTAGGTTCCAACAATTTTTGAAACCCACCACTGATCTGTGAGTACTTTGTGGAACATCTTCCTGGTTCCTCTTTGGACTTCTGGAGGTTCTGCCGAAGTTCACCACACAACTTTACTTACTGTTTATTAGATTTTATATTCACCCTTTATTTTGGGCAAACTCAAAGCAACATACATGCTTTGAGGATCTCACTGGCAACTTAGCCTAAGACGGCAATAATTTTGCTTGGCTTGGATGTCTTAATTATCCCAAAGACTCCTTTACTTTTGGTTCCTGGTGCTGTTTGTTGTTTTGCTTGCAGACATTTCATTTCCCAACGAGGTAACATTATCAGCACCAATGAGGTTACCTGGTTAGGTAATGAAACTTTTGCAAGCAAGCAACCAAGTTCAGAGAGATCAGGAACTCCGCAGTTGAACCCTGAGGATCCAGATTGTTGGGCGGGGGGGGGGGGAATATGCTGACGCATGGACAGAAGGGGAAGTTGGGAGCCATTCCGAACAGAACTGTTAGCTGAAACAGAGGTGGGCTTGCAAGGAATACAGTCCGGCATTTATTTTTTAACCTGTAAATAGCCGTCATGTTATTCAGAGTCATCAAATCTCCTTCTAGGAGTGGAGTTACCACATTTTTCGGAGTATAAGACGCACTGGAGTATAAGATGCACCAAGATTTTGAAGAGGCAAATTTTTAAAAGAAGGTTTTGCTTTTTTACAGACCTCCCCAAAACAGCCCGTTTTTCATGAAAATGGGCTTGTTTTTTTGTTCAAAAAAAAAGGGCATGAATAGCTTTTAGGAGGCTTGTAGATTGCTCCTGGGATGGCGGGAGGGGGCAAAATTGAGCAAAAACGGCCTGTTTTTCACTCATTTCTGCCCTCCCCAGCCCCCAGGAGCATTCTACAAGCCTCCTAAAGGCTATCCATGGCCATTTTGGTGAAGGGAGCAGGAGGCCAAAAATGCTGTATTCAGTGTATAAGAGGTACCAAGATTTTCAGCCTCTTTTTTGAGGGAAAAAGGTGTGTCTTATACTCTATTGTATACTTTCCCCTCGCTGGACACAGCTGAAGCAGAAAATACACCACGGGAGGTTTCTTCAGAAGGACTTGTTGATTTCTCCTATGGGCTTCCCTTCACGATGCGGCATCCCACACACAATACATTGTAAATAAAAATCCATATATTGTTTGTGGGCTCATGAGTGTTCGGACTTGTCTCTACGTATCCAGATGCTCAAGGAAGCTACTCAGAGCCAAAGTGTGCAGGGGGAGATGGATTCCCCTGTCCATAAGACAACAACTGGAGCAAAACCCACAATCTTTTTCATACAAGCTCTTTGCAACAGTCAAAGCACTGGAACACCGAGTCAAAAAAGGTAACATAGCTATTGGACATATTATGTTAAACCACCGTTTCTTCAACTAGGATTTATTGAATAAACCACCATGGACAGGGTTCGCCCAGAAGGGTAATCCAGAAAGTGAGCAAGGCATGTTCTCAGTGGTGCAGAATGAAGCAGAGGTAGTCCTCGACATATAACCATTTGTGTAGTGACCGTTTGAAAGTTACAATGAAAAAAAAAATGACTTAGGGCCAGTTTTCACAAGACCATTCATTGCAGTATCCCCATGGTCATGTGATCAACATTTGGGCACTGGGCAACTGGAATGTATTTATGATGGATGCAACATCCTGGGATCATGTGATCCTTCATTTGTAACCTTCCCAGCTGGATTCCGGCCAGCAAAATCAATGGGGGAAGCCAAAGTCAATTAGTGACCATATGATTCACTTAACAACCGCAGTGATTTGCTTAAAAGCTGTGGCAAAAAATAAAATGGCACAAAGTTCACTTAACAACTGCCGTGCTTAATTATGGGCTCAGTTGTGGCCACAAGTCAAGGACTAGTGGAACAAGTCAACCGAGGTTGCTTTGCTTCTGATTTTCTGCATAGTGCAACCCAGCTCTTGTTCCGTTAATAAATCAGAGTTAAGCCAACCACTGCCCACGAAGCAGATCTCTACTCATTCTGGTGGCCGAGCAATCCTATTTCAGCGTGAAGTTGTTCATATATTGGGGGCATTATTCCTCTCTAACCTGGCAGTGAGATTTTATTTCACAAAAGTAATGTAAGAAGAAAAGGCAATAAAAGAAGTCGGTGGCTTATTGGTCAGGGTGGAGGGCCGTTTCACCGAGAACAGTCAGGGCCGGTGGTATCGTGGGAAGGAACTCCGTTCAGCACTCGCTGGCTCCTAGAAGACACGGGTGAGAAAACCAAAGAACAAGGCACATTTTAGGTAAGAGAAATGGCATGGTTTGTTTTGTTTGTTTTGTTTATTTCATTTGTATGCCGCCCTTTTCCCCTGAAGGGGACTCAGGGCGGCTCACAACTCAAACCAGGGAAGGGGGATACAGACAAATTAACAACAACACAAAACAATATATAATTTACTACCCTCTGAAATGTTAGAGAACAGATTATATTTCTGGATGTACAATATATTTTAACTTGCCATTTCT